GCACCAAACACTAGTGCACCCAACTATATAAAACAAATACTAACAGACATGAAAAGTCATATATGCACCAATACAATTGTAGTGGGGGACCCCAACACCCCACTGTCACAAATAGATAGATCAACTAGACTAAAAATAAGGATGTCCAGGCTAGAGTGATCTCCTGGGGCTTTGACTCCTAGGAAATATCTCATAGCCTAGTCCTTCCCAAATGGTTGTACAAAGAATTCCAGTCCTTTGAAACCAGAATTCTTGGCCCAATAAGTTTGGGAAATGTTGCATGTGTTATCTGCCCCTCAGAGTTAGCCTTATAAATGTTAACTCCATCTAGTTACTTTAGAATTAATTAATAAAGTAAAAAGTTCAGCTCTTTAGTCATACTAGCTACATTTCATGAGCTTAATAGCCACAGGTGGCTTGTGTCTGCCACATTGGGAAGTACATATGTAGAACATTTCCATTACAGAAAGTTATATTGGACAGTTCAGGGAAGGTTCAGAGATCTCCTGTGGTAAAAGAACTTATTTAACTTTGTTCAGGTCTCAAACATTTTAATACTCAGTAGAATTACTATTCTGTAAGACACTGTTCAGAAAATATAGTTTGGCATGCTGGAAAAGATAGATTTCTCCACTGGGATATGGTGTTCCTGGGTCATGGTTAGTACCTTCTGTATTTTTACAACTCTTCAATTCCTGCACCTGCTACTTCCAGAGTCATATTTATTTGAGTTCCTGTCCTTGCTGAAAAATTAATTATTTTGCTATTATAAGACATATTTTACCATGCTTCATATTCCTGTGAAACTTGTCAACAGCTGATTTTCTCCTCTGTTACAGAAATAGAACTTCAGAGACAGAAGGGATCTTAGAGAGTAAGTGGTTCAATTTTTAAAAATTGGTACATGTTTGCAATACTTAATAATTACATTCCTCATGGGGAGTTGGTACATATATATAACAAATCTTTTAATTCTTTTTTCTTCCCTTAGTTTAATATTATTTTATTTATGAATAAACTGAAGCTAAGAAAGGTTATATGACTTTCTCAATGTCACTTAATAAGACAGTCCATGTTCCCACTAAGTCCATGTTCTTATTAAGGTTGTTAGTTCACCTCTTCCCAAGCTGAAAAGATTAGCAATTATTAATGAATTAGGATGGTGTCAATGGTAATGTAGGTTTTATCTCTCATTTAAAATCTTGTCCATCTTTGTAAGAGTGGGCTCTGAATAAGTATTATTCTGTATTTCTGAACTCAACTTTTTTTGCAGGCTGTGACTAGATAGAGCCCAGCAGTGTACATCACCCATAACTCAATTCTTTCCCACTGCTTCATAAGAAAGACTTTAATGACTTTTCAGCAACCAGCCAACAATATCTGCATGAGTTTGCATCTGCTTCTGGGCCCACCTGGAGCTTCTTTGATTACAAATTCTAAGTAGAGCCTATCTGCTATTTAATTTTACTTTTTGGCTATGGGATATAAAGAAGTGAAAATTACAACTTGTATAATGAAAGAAATGTTGCACCCTTACTAGTTTATAGAAAGGTTGACATTTGTTGGAAAAGGTTGGGTTCAGAAGTTCAGGTCATATGCATTTCTGTGCCCAACACTGTGAAGAGTAAGATGTCACATGTGGCATATTGTGGGTTGTAAAAGGAAGATAAGTTGTTTGTCAGGGTAATGTCTCAGGAGGAACTGCACTGTTAGGGTTGTGATCCAAATGAATATACTTCCGATAACTTTGCTAGGATGTCCGTGGGAAAGCCCCATTAGTCATCTTTGCTAGATGGGGGCTTCTGGAAACCTCTGCACAGCTGTACATGTCTCTATTAATAAAAACATTGAAGCCACAGGGGTTGTGGCCACACATGTCTCATCTTGCTGACCCTCTGGGCCTGCAAGAATTACAAAGAAGGGACTGAGTTGTGGAGCCTAATCTTTAAATGTTTTGACTTTTGAAATGTGGGAAATATTATGTTCACCATTTCCCTTGGAACAGAACTCTAGTTTTGGACTTTAAGGGCATAGCCCACTTTAGACTACCCCAGTATCTATGAAGGAGAGATCCTCTCACTGATTCTGGTAAGCTCTGACATCAGAAAATCACTGTTCTTAAGAAATCACCATTCTCTCAGAATGCCATAAACTTAATGAACAGTAATATTACTTGTCACCAAAGGGAATTATGTTGGTAGCTTTTTTCAAGCTCACCAAATTCAAACTTTGCTCATCTATGTGTAGAATCTTGTGTGAGCATCCTGGTAAACGACCCCATCATACAGAGTGATGGCTGCTCTGTTTTTCTTCCACCTTCTCTTGTGTCTTCCTGTCTTGTTATATATTAATGAGAGGCAGAGAAAATTCTGTCTCAAGATATGACGTAGAGATTCAAGTCACTCAAATCCTGTTTTTCATGGGAGAACTCCACCAGCAGTATCCAGGTGTCAGAGCAAGACCTGGAATCCCAGCTATGGCCACACACCTTGCTCTGTTCTCTGTTGGCCTCCCTTGCCCAGAGGCGATGCACTGCTAGTGGAGTTCATCTTTATGGATGGATGTGTTCAGTAGGAGCCTGTCTGAGTTTTCCTGGATCAGAGGTTTAGCAGCATTGGGTGTAACACTCTTCCCACAGGAGATGCTCAACCGAGGATAAGAGTCAAGAGTCCAGATTCTTGCCTGTGGCTCATTTGTTGGACCTGGACATGTCCATGCATGTCTCTGGGTTTTCCTTTATCTGTAAAATGAGTACAATGTAAATAGGATTTACTAAATTCAGTGGCCCCTCAATCATTTGGTTCTATTTTTGAGCGTCAATATTTGGTATTATTAGATACTTCCCTTCTCAAAATGTTAAGGTTTTCTTGGTCTAGGGCTACTGTTTTCATGTTAGTTCAACAAACATTACTAGGCTAAATATCTTCTTTGAGGTTCAGAGTATGCAAAAGACATTTTTTGTTTTTGAGGCACTCACAAGGTACGTAAACATAACATGTTTTTCCCTCTGACTGCTCCTTCCTTCTTACCTCTATTTGCTTCTTTTCTTTTGATTTTATCATCAACTTTCTTCAAAAGCCTTCAACTTTTGCATATATTCTGTTTGGAAAATCAATGATTCTTGGTTTCAACTATCATTTAAATGTCATTAATTAGAAAATATTTCTCTTTAACCATGACCCTTTCCATTGCCTTGAGCTGCATCCTGGATATCTTTGCTTGGTCATCCCTTAGGTACTTCCAATTCAAAAAGTCTAAAACTAAACCCATTTTACCCTCACTCACTTCTCCTTTTCTGTTCTTCAAATCTACTCCTTCTCTTGAACCTCTTATCTTGATTAAAGGCATTACCATTCATGTAGTCACTTGATTAGAAATGCCAGAGTCATCTGCTGCTCCCCTTTCTCAATATCTCTTGTCATACAACCTTTAGAATTCACCTCTGAAATGTTGAGCCCTGTCTCCTTTTTCCTGTTACTCCTGTCACTTTCCTTGATCAGGGTTAGCTCTCATTGGAATGTCATCAGTTTTAACTGCCCACATTATCCTCTCCAGAATCAGGAAGGAACTCACACTTTATGCCAGCCAGATAGCAGTCATGAGATGGATATTTTAATCTGTTCACGGGTCTGAAAACTTGCAGAATGGGCCCCAGGCACTTGGGAAAATATCCCAGAAACAAAATGAAAGGAGGCATAATTCACCTTCTAGATGGCTTTTGAGTGGAAAGTGCTTTAGAAGAGTCAGATCTTGAAAGGGGAAAAGGGTTAGGAATATCTTAACCAAATAAGCAAATTATTTTGCTTATATGTTCTCTTTTATACATAAAAATATATAAAGCATGATAAAAACCTGTCCATATATGTTTAAAAGATTCTTTCCAATAAATGTAAAATGAAAATGCCAAGTGTTAAAAATCAGGGTGTTATTATTTAATTGGCAGAATTTTTCTTCCTAATGCTGAATAATGGTGTGACTTATAAACGATGACAGCCTAGATTTGATAAAACACAAAACTCTCTAATCCATCCATACTTTCATTACTCTGTTTAGGCCTCCCTGTCTTCAGTTTCTTTCCTTCTGATTTGTTTTGTCCCACCAGCACATTCGGATCTGATCATATTATTCCAATACTTAAAAATATCTTGTACAGCAGAGATTCTCAAACTCAGGGTACATTAGGGTCATGTTAAAACACAGATTTCTGCACCCCAGCCCTGGAGTTTCTGATGCCGTATGCTCGAGCTATGTCTAGAGAAATTCTATTTCTTATGAACTCTTGGGTGTTGTTGATGGTTCAAGGGTCACCCTTTGAGGGCTGTTGACCTTACTCATCAAGTCTAAACCCCTCAGTGGCACTCAAGGCTCTTTGCTGAGGCTCCAGTGGCTCATCTGTGGTGCTCTCTCACACACTCTACTCTCCATCATGCCTGGAATTCTCTATTCTCATTCACGGTAGGCCCTTCGTGATTTTGTGATTTCTTTTTTTAATGCACTGCCTAAGAATTCCTCAAAATTATTTGACTTTTAAGCCACAGTCCAATGAACAAATTCTTCAGCAGAAAATATTTCATCTACTTATCTTTCTAAAGAGGTAAATTTCAGGATGTTTATCTGTGAACATCAGCTTCTAAGACAGCTAAACTTAAATGCTCAAGCTTTTCCAGTAATTAGAAAGATATTCTTTTGGGACCAACAGGTCATGAAGTTTGACGGGGTTTTCCACTTTTCTGGATTATCAATTTGGCAATCATCCCTACACAAAGCACAGAATTTATTGTGAGTCAATGGAGCCATTATTACGATCGTTTTAAATATTTATAAGCTGCTGTAAATATATATATTTATGCATATATATTTATTATATGGTGCTGGAAAGCAATTTAAATCATAACAAACCAAGAAAATCCTTGATGTTTCAATATATTTATAAATCAGGCTCATAAATAACATAACAAAATAAAAAGGATGGGAAATAGAAGCACAGACATAGTGGAAACACAGGAAGGCGATTCTATTTTATTTTACATTTTGTAGTGCTGAAGATCAAACTCAAGGCCTTGCACATGTTAAGCAGGTTTCTACCACTGAGCTACATCTCCAGAAATGCAAAATAATAAATTAGTGTTTTTTAAGCCACAATACTTGTGGTAATTTCTTAGAGCAGCAATAGAAAATTAATACGGATATATAGTCTATCATTTGATAAAAGTAAGAAAAGTTTAAGACTGAAAGTAGGGAGGACTAGACTATCCAAAATCACACTGGCAAATTTGCGTGATATACAGACATACAGACAGGTGCATGCATTTATGTTTTACAAGATAATATAGTTTGGATCACAAATGTCTCACAGAGGCCAACTTGGGAATAGTTTCTCTAGTGTGAGAAACTGAACGTGTAAATAGGGATTAAAATGATTAAAATGAATAATTGATAATTTGAAATAGGAAGAAAAGGTCCAAAGGGGTAGGGGGTGGTAGGAGGGGAAGGGGAAAGGAAAGAAGGGAAAGGAAAAATTATGAGAATAGAAAGAAAATGGAAATGAAATCTATGTAAATAGGGAAGGGTGGAGGGGGTGAAGGGTGCACAGGTAATGGGAAAAAAATAAGAACCAAGATACATCATGTACAGGTACAAGCACCCAATGATAAATGTAAACATATTGTATACCTAAAATGTACCAATAAAAGAATTTAAGGAAAAAAATAAATAAAGGCTTCCTCCTCCTCCTCCTCCTCTCTCTCTCTCTCTCTCTCTCTCTCTCTCTCTCTCTCTCTCTCTCTCTCTCTCCTGGCCATGAAGTGAATGGTTCTGCTCCAACACATGCTCCCTCCCATTGTGTGCTGTCTCCTTATGGGCCAAAGCAACAGGGCCAACAGAACATGGACTTAAACCTCTAAAACTATGAGCCAACATTTTCTCTTTATACATTTATTTATCTCAGGTAAATTCTTGCAGTGATAGAAAGCTGATTAGCACATGGAGTATGGTTCTACTGTTACTTGTTCTGAAGACAGAGGGAAATGCCATCATCATTGTGTGAAGGAAGCCTGGAACTCTCATCCCTTTGCTGCCAAGTAAATGTTAATAGAAGTGAAAAGGACTGTATATCAAGATAGTCACAGGAGCAAAGCTGCCACAAGTTTTTCATACAGTTTTTCTTTAGAGTACTTTTCACTGGCTTCCAGTAACCTGATCAATCCAACAACCAGAGAATTCAATTTTCTTTGTCAAAATTGAATTGAATTAGGTAAGTTTCATAAGTTTCATTTAAGTCTAAGTGAAGCTTATTACGTGTATTAAGATTTTGTTCCAATATATGCTGGAATCCATGGATAAAAAGAAAATGTCTAGACTAGCTTTGTAAAAGCCCACTACTTTCAGAGTCTTCTCAAATTCTTTCTCTAATGGTCTACATTTTTCTCTTGCATAAATCTTTTAAAAAAGAGTTCAATGAGAGGAGGCCTGACTGCTTTGCTATAGTCATCGTGAAATATCTCCATTCCTAACTGTATTCTCAAATTGTAAGGTAGTAGGGGTATGATCAATATAATGAGCCTAATTTTCTCTGGAAGATCCGTGCACTCCTAGGAGAAGAAAGGAGGCTTATTCTTATAGCAGAAAATAGCTTCTTCTCCACTTAGCATAAAGCAATTCTGCATGGATTTCCCAGGACTGGTGACAAGGACAGTCTCAGAATTATGTCACATCTCTCATGAGCTACAAAATCATGTTAACAGTACTGTGCTTAAGAGCTCAATCTCTGGGGCCAGAGATTTATCTCAGTTGTTCTGCCACCTGCCTCACAAGCGCAAGATCCCAAGTTTGATCCCCAGTACCAACCAACCAACCAACCAACCGACAAACAAAGAGCTCGATCTCTCTCTAGAACCTAGACAGACCTGGGTTCTAATCTTGACTTTGTCTCTGATTAGCTGTACGCTATTGGGTAAATTGCCTGATCTCTCTAACCTTCAGTTTCCTTACTTGGGGTGCACTACATTACCTACCTTATTGTGAAAATGAAATGGGTTAATGGATGGAAATCACTTAGCATAAAGCTTAATAATTCAATAAATGTTGTTTTAATAAGCACTAGACTATGCTCTAGGTATCATTTATGCAAATTTCATAGATGTTGGATAACTGATATTTTCTTTGTGCTAAAACTGCACAACTTCTCCCTCTCTCCCTTCCTTCCTTAATGTCTAAAGTTTTGTTCAGTGGAAGGCAGCTATTACTGAAAGGAGTTAACATCTAATATACGTCTTCTGGCAGTGTGAGTCTCTCTGGACACCAGATAAATAAGGTGACGGGGCATTAGCTGATATCTCAGCATGCCTTAGGATCTGTGTGCTCTTTCTGTGGAAATCCCCTTTATGACTGCAAAAACTCCATATATCAAAAATTATCTCCATTTTCTTCTTCCTCACTTCTCCTATCCTTCTGACCCCCTTATGAGACTGTGGCTTCACTATCTGTTTTTATCAAGTTTACTTGAGAGAGTTTTGTCTTCACTAAGCTTGGTGCCCAGATCTTCTGGAGGCCCAGAATGTGAGGGATGGGTGGCATAGCAGTCATTGGTTTTGATCCCTTAGCCCATGCTTTTCTGGGACTTGGCTGTAAGTGCTCCATAAGCTCCCAGTTTTGTTTTCAGATTGGCAGCTTATTGTCATGGAGCCCTGTATACCTGTACTACCATGCTGCATGCCTGTTAGCCTTCACTTAGGTGAGTACTATACTATTTAATGGTGAGATAATGGATCCTCAAAAATAAAAAGTTTACTTAGATCCATTAGCCCTAGAAGTATCTTTTGTGGCAGAAACCTGTCTGTAGGAAAATATTTGGTGATTCCAACACTTCTCACATTGAATTCATCAATCCCTATCACTCTTGTACTTTTTTGTGTTCCCTGGGCCAGAGGCTGCATCAGCAAATTGATATCTGAGCATCATTCTCAATTCCCTTCATCAGTACCCACAACACATCTATCTCCACAGTCCTCCTTTATTTCATCTTTTCCTCCCTTCCCCCGGGGCACTGTCTTAGTGCAGGCCACCTCACCTGTCACGTCACCAGCAGACTTCTGGACTGGTCTCTCTGCCTCCAGTCATGCAATGCAGGCAGAGTCAGCTTTGTGAAACACACATCTGAGCATTCATGACACCTTGTGGGGCTCCAGATAAACTCTATACAGTTCAGTGGGAATTATTTCAGTGTGCAGTGTAGCACAGTAGGTAAAGGCAGGACCCTAGAGTGAGGCACTTGGGTTCACAAGATGGTTCCATTACTTATTGACTGTGTGACTGAATACATTGCTTTGCGTTTCTGGTTCCACTTATCTATAAAACAAGGATAAAATTGTAGTGAAGTATAATACATGTAAAGGACCTTGAACAGAGCCTAATATATCTTAAGCCCTCAGAAATGTTAACCACTATTTACTATAATTGCTGCACAATTAGCTGCCAATGTCCCATTTACCAGGCTGTCCTCACTGGGAGGTTGAGGAAAGACTTGAGTTGTCTAGAAATTCAACTCTTTTACATTTGCAATAAAATGGAACTGAAAAACTAAAATTTTAATGACAGAAATGACTTGGAATGGGTGTACAGAAGAAAGGAGAGGGTGAAAATGTGATTAGTATATCATTCTAGCAGGAGATGCAATGCCATAGAGTTGTTTGGTCCAGAAGCAAAACCAAAAGTGAACAAGGAATTGAAAATGTTCTGGAACAATACAAACTAGAAGACTTCTTTCTAAGCTCAGCATGGTACTCTAGTGCCAAACCTGTGAAAACTGACGTGTACTCTGAGCCACGTAGATGCTAATATTTTACACACTTATCACCTTTACTTTGTTGTATCAGAACTTCATCATTTGGTCTCTGCAGCTGTAAGCAAAGGTGCTGTGATGTTTAAAAATTTAATATATAAGCAAAGTATGGGAAATGTACTTAGGCTTGAAAAGACAGCTTTATAAACTTCTTGGTGATGCTCTTCATTGCAAAGCTTAGGCCTAAATAAACTGCTTTTGATTGCTAAGGAGGATCCATTATCTCAATGATCTTTGAGGTTTCCAGAAATCAATATAAAAATAAAATCCACTTCTGATTTATTGTACCACTTTTTCATATTAGCTAATTGGATAAAGCCATTGTAGCACCCCTTTTTAAATTATTTATATGAATGGGCCATTCCTTGAAAAATGTGGGTCTATTATTTTTCCAGTGAAGAAAACTAGATACAGCAAAGGGAACCTCCGTCACTGACTACTGGCACAATGCCAATGGCAGTTACATATGCACCTTGTTTCAAGTACAGTGGGAATGTATTGATGTCTATTCCATACTAAATTTCCTGGATCTTCCAGAAGCCTCCTGTCTTTGACATTACTCTCCATCAGACAGTGATTTTTTTCCATTTAAGGCTATATATTTTATTTTTAATTTTTACTAGTACATATTTGCAGTATATAATGATAACATTCATTGTGGGGAGTGGATACATGTATATAATATATCTTAATTCTTTTTATTCTCCTTTTCCTCCCCTCTCTGATCCCTCCTCCTCTCTCTTGACCCCCCTTCCCATTTGCAAAAGATCTGTCCTGTTTCCTATTATTTATTGTATATTTTGCTCTGTAATTTATTTATACTTTGGGTTTCTCATATAAGAGAAACCATGCTATATTTAAGCTTGTGCATTTGATTTATTGTACTTAACATTATGGTCTCAATGTGCATCCATTTTCCTACAAATAACTCAAATTTATCCTTCTTTATAGAAGAATAGTACTTCATTGTATGTAAATACCATATTTTCTTTATCCATTTTTCTGCTGATGGACATATAGGCCACTTCTAAGATTTAGCTAATATGAATTGTGCTGCTATAAACGTGGGTATCTATGCATCACTATAATGTGATGTCTTGAACTCTTTTGGAAAAATATCTAGAAGTGCAATAGCTGGGTTGAATGGAATTTGTAGTTTTAGATCTTTGAGGAATCTCCATACTGATTTCCATGGTGTTTATTCTAGTTTGCTTTCCCATCAACAACATACAAGGGTTCCTTTCACCCTGAAGCCCCTTCAGAATTTGTTATTTGATTTCATGATGATAGCTTTACTTTCTGGAGTAAAATGGAATCTCAGTGTTGTTTTAATCAGCATTTCTCAAATGGCCAGTAATATTGAACATTTTTTCGTGTATTTATTGATCATTTGTACTTCTGAGAAGTGTCTATTCCTTTCAACTGCCCATTTTTTTATTCAATCTTTTATTTTAGGAAGTCTAGTTCTTTGAGTCCTTTATATATTATATATATATTAATTCTCTATCTGAGATGTAGCTGGCAAAATTTTTTTCCCAGTCTCTAGGCTGTCTATTCACTCTCTTGGTTGTTTCTTTTGCTGTGGAGAAGATTTTTAATTTGATATGATCCCATTTGTTGACTCTGGATGTTATTTCTTGTGGCATTGGGGTTCTGTTCAGAAAGTTCTTGCCTACAACTATGTCTTCAAGAGTTTTATCTATTTTATCCTGCAGCAGGGAAGTGTTTCTGTTTTAATATCTAGATCTTTGATCCATTGTAATTTTATTTTAGTATAATGTGAGAGATATGGGTCTAGATTCAATCCTTTGCATGTGGATAGCCACTTTTTCTGACAGTATTTGTTAAAAAGCCTATATTTCCTCCAGCGTATGTTTTGGGCCCATTTTTCAAAGATGAGATGGCTAAATGTGCTGAGGGTTGTATTTACATCTTCTGTTCTCTTATTCCTCATGTCTGTTTTTGTACTAACACGATGTTGTTTTTATCACTGTAGCATTGTCACATAATTTGAATCTTTTTTTTTTGAGACAGGGTCTCACTATGTAGCTTAGGCTGGCCTTGAATTCACTATTTAGCCCAGGCTGGCCTTGAACTCACCTAAATCTTCCTGCCTTAGCCTCCTGAGTTCTGGGATTACAGGTGTGCACTAGGATGCCTGGCTGTCATATAATGAGATTATAATGCCTCCTGCTTTGCTGTTGTTGCCCATGATTGCTTTTGCTATCTTCAGGCTCTTCTGGTTCTATGTGAATTCTATAATTGTCTTTAGTTCTGTGAGGAGTTCTGTTGGTTTGTTGGTTGGGATCACATTAAATCTATATATGTTATGGAAGTATGACTGTTTTGACAATATTGGTTCTACCTATATAGGAACAAGGGATATCTTTCCATTTTCTGATGTCCTCTTCCATTTCCTTTTCAGAGTCTTTAAGCTTCACTGTAGAGATCTTCCTTGATCAGGTTAATTCCTAAGTATTCAATTTTTCTTGATGCTATTGTGAATGGTATTGTTTTCCTAATTTCTTTCTCAGTGAGTTCATTATTGGTGTACAAGGATACCATTGATTTTTACGGGTTGATTTTGTATCCTGCTACCTTGCTGAATTTGGTTATTAATTCTAGGTATCTTTTGGGGGAATATTTTAGATTTTCTATGTAAAGGATCATGTCATCTGCAAACAATAATAATTTGACTTCTTTCTTTCCTATAAGTGCCTCTTTTATTTATTTCTCTTGCCTGATTGCTCTGATTAGTGTTTTAAGGACTATGTTGAACAGGAGGGGTGATAGTATACATTCTTATCTTGTTCCTGCCTTTAGGGAGAAAGCTTTCAACTTTTCCCCATTTAATACAATGTTGGCAGTAGGTGTGTCATATATGACTTTGATGCATTTCAGATAAGGTTCTTCTATACTTTTTTTTTCAGGGTCCTTTTCATGAATAGATGTTGAATTTTATCAAAAACTTTTTACTTATCTATTAAGATGATCATGTAATTTATGTTTTGTTGAGAGCTTTTATGTCTATGTTTATTGAAGCAATTGGCCTTTTTAGTCTTAACGTCATTAATTTCTGCTCTGATCTTTAAAGAATCAATGAATCGAAGAACTGTGTTTTTGAAAGAATAAACAAACTCTTATCTAATTTTACTAAAAAGGAAAGAAAATACCCAAATCAATACAACTAGAAATGAAAAAGGCAAAATCACAACAAACATCACTGAAATTCAGAAGATAATTGTAATTACTTTGAGAATCTGTACTCCAATAAATTGTTTTTTAATGTTTTTATTGTTTGTTAATTTATGGTGAACTTTATGGGTTGATTACAGTGGAAAGACTGTTGCCACGATGGAGATGTCTTTAGTTAGTGTCTGCTTTTCAGTGATGCACTCTTGGCATGGCTAACTATATGCTTTTGCCTCTGTCCTAAGACCCACCTCCCTTCATCAATGTGGGAGGAGAGGATACAGTGTAGGCCCAGCACCCAGTTCTCCAGAAACGAACTGTAGTATTAATAACACAAAGACAAACCAGACATTGGCAGTAGAAAGAAAATCAGTAACAATAACTATGCCACCCTTGCAATAGCAACCAAAGTCACCAAAAATAGAGTCAAAAACAAACTAGATATTGGCATATCATAGTAACCAATAAAAACTACCACTGTACCACCATTAACCACAGGAGATGCACAATTATAATACAGACACAAAGACAAACCAAATATTAACATACAGCAAATATCTACTAAGTGGAACAACTATACTATCATTAACAATAGAAAAGAAATAAACAATATTATCACAGTTAATTAAATATTTAAACATTACTAAAGCTTAAGAATAATACTAATAAAAATTGAAAATGGAGAGGTGAAAAAAATTTTTAAATAAAGAAAAGGAAGATGAAAAGGAGGAGAGAAAAGTGAGATAAATGATCCTGTTATGGAGTAAAAGAAAATAGAATTAGATGAACAAAAGAAAAAGAAAAAAATGACAAAACAGAGAACAAAATTTTTAAAAAGAAGAAAATAGGAAAAATCCTTCAAAATCCCCAAAAACCAGCGAAGAAAAAAACAAAAAAGAAAAAGAAATGGGTCCAAAAATCATTCCTCCATATTTTTGAATGAGTAGGTTCTTTACAGAGTCTGCAGTATTGGAATCCACTAGATATGGGGAAGGAACAGTAAATCAGTCTAAGACCTATTTTGTTTCCACACTTGTAGTTTTGTATGTGAATGCTGAATGCCACCCCACCCTTCCTGCTGGGCATAGTTGGTCATTGGTGTCCACCTAGGGCTGGAGTCACTGGCTGCTTCCAGTTTCTGTGTCCTTCCCTGTGTCCCAAGTCACACCTTTCTCTGCCGTGGGTTTGTGATGTGTCTTTCCTGCTCCAGAGGTCTTTCTGTCCATCCACTGTAGGCTGTTGCCATTGTCCAAGCCCCTGCACAACCCTGATCACATCGGCAGATGGGAAATGCAAACAGACCACTGAGCTCAGTGGTAGATGTACGCAGCAGAGTGGGGGCGGGGCGGGGTCAAGAAGACCACGGGACTTAATGTTAGGACTTTAACACCCAGCCCCCCTCCAAAAGCCACACAGGATTGGCCTGGCTCTCAGTTCAGAGGGCAGGACCTCTGTGACCTTCCCAGCCTGAGTTTAAAGTTCTCAGGGAGGTCTATGTCTAGCCTATACCCTCTCTGTGACTCTGCTGTGACCTTCTCCCACTCCAAGTCTTTATGGTAGGGTGACACCAGAAATCTTGAAGTATAGTTGCTCTGTACCTTCATCTTAAACAGTCAACCTCTGCTCCAAATGTCTCCTGGTTAAATGCTGTCAAATATGGCAGGCACTGCACTGACTTTCTTCTCCAACTCCAGCCTGCCATGTGGAAGTGTTCAATTTCAGAGAAAAGCTCACACCAGTTTTACAATTTGCAATAACAGTGGGCTTTTCTTGGGGCTAACACTGCTGGCCAGATCCATTGTCTCTCCCTGGGGCTGCTGACCCTCTCTGGGCTTCCCTTGTGTCAGAGGGGACAGGTCACCCTTCCCAGGAGCTAAGGTTCTTTTCCTGACTGCTTCATTTTTTCCTGCATTGTGTCCATTTCTCCAGCTTTTCTATAGTTTCTAGTTTTCCGGTCAGCTCTCTACTTATTCCCAGAGATTTACTTCTTTTTTTTTTCCTCTTCATGTTGTTGTTTTCCAGGTGTCTCAATTCCAGGTCCTAGAAAGACTGTATTTTGCTGCTAGTTTCAACTACACCATTTTTAATCCTCTTGAAATTATATTTTTCTCCATCAGTGATTCTTAACTAAAGGGGATTATGCCTCTCATGTCTCTCATGGGGCATGTGACAATGTCTGGAGACATTTTTAGTTAACACAACTGGAGAGGTGGGTGCTGCTGATAACTAATGGGTGTGGGTTGATATTGCTGCTAAGCACCCTACTGTGTACAACACAGCACAGAATGTCCATTGTGCCAGGGCTGAGAAATTCTGGGACAGATGTGATTGCTTAACATGGACAGACTGGGCAAGGACTCTTCTGCTCTTAATTCAAATATCTATCCAGAAACCTCCAGTTAGAACTTGGAGCAAACAGAACTCCAGGGGTCTTTGGTGGTCATGTGAACAAATTAAAATGATTTAATCAGGCTCCTTTCCACAATTTAAATTGAGGCTTAAATTGTGACCACACCTGGGGAAGAAGATTGACTTCAATTTTCAAAGAATAAATGGGACAAGTGTAATTTTCTTGTTGTTGTAGATGGTGTGGAGGCAAGTCTAACAGCAAAAGGGTAGGAGGAAATCTTCTGGGGGATGAAATGGCCTATATTTTGTTCTCAAAAATCTGTATATTTTCTTGTAAGTAAATTATATTTCACACAGCACTCCCACAGTATTTTTTTTAAAGGAGTGAACAAAGTCAAAAGGGAGATTTTTGTAAATGTAGTAAGATAGCAGTAATTGTTGAATCTGAGAAAGTGATTTATTATGCCATTCTATTTGTTGTATATGCTTGCAAGAATTTACAGTAAAATTGAAAGCGAGGTGGAAAAAGATCCTATTTATAATGTTAATTAAATGTGTAAGGTACCTATAAATCATATCACTAATGATACATAAGACTTCCATATGAGTTTATGGAGAAAACTATAAATATTGAGTGCATCAATATTTTGAAGAAGTGCATAGACATATTCTGCTAAGGATTGAAAGACTTGGTATTTTACAGATGTCATTATTCCCTGAGAGTAACCCAGACATTCATTGAAAATTTCAACAGAGATTTTCACAGAAAGAGTTTCAGCAAAGTCTATGTGACTGTGAATAGGAGAACAGGTAGGAGATCTGATGTAAAATTTACTATATTAAGTGCTATTTAGTATGATAAGATTTATTATATAGTAAATATATATATATATATATCAGAGAGAACATAGAACCTTGGAGAGAAATTCTTCTGAGAGCCAGGGAGATAGGAACAGAATCCACCTCTGTCTGGTCACTATAAGAGAATATTCTCCAATGACAGAATAACTAGGCTTGGTAATTTGTGCACACACTTGATGAGAATGGAGGCAATGAATATCCACCATTCTCTGATGCACATTGGACTCCACAGTTTATGAGGCCATTGCTGGGTGTAGCTTTTACCCTGGTAACATTTTCACAGGTTTCACTCTCCAAATTGTAGTGAATATCAATGTACTTCGAGGGTAGGGGTGGACAACAAATGGCTAGCTGTAATGAAAAATCTGAATTGTAAGTATTTTTGTTATTGTGGTAAAAGGACATGTCATAAACATTTCAGTCTTAAGATTCTTAAGTGCCCAGTTTGGTAGTGTTTAGCATATTCACGTTGTGAAACACTCCAGAAAACTACCTTCTTGCAGAAATGAAACCACCCATTGAGCAGCAGCTCTCCTTTCCCTCTCCTTCAGCTCCCTGGTAGCCATCATTCTATTCCTTATATTTGTAATTTGAGTACTCTGATACCTCATTGTGGTGGAATCATAAAATATTTATATATTTATAACTGATATATTTCACTTTACAAAATGTCCTTAGGAGCTATGCAGGTTGTAGCATGTAACAAGACTTTCTTCATTTTTAGGGATGCATAGTATTCCACTGGGTGCATATACCACATTCTGTTTATCCATTCATCCATCAGTGAATGTTGGGATTGCTTCTACTTCTTGGCTATTGTGAATAGTGCTGCTGTAAACATGAATGGGAAAATATCTCTGAAGATACACTATTTTCAATTTTCTTGAGCATATATACCCAGAAGGGGGATTGCTGGGTTATATGGTAGTTCCATTTAAAAATTTTTAACACTATTCTTAATATTTTGTTCCTAAATTCTAGGAGTTCTTTATTTATCCAGGATATCAATTCCTAATCAGATATATGTTTACACATAATTTTTCCCATCCCATGAATTGCCTTTTCACATTGCTGATTATGCCTTCTTCTTCTTCTTCTTTTTTTTTTTTTTGATACTGGGGATTGAACTCGGGACCTTGCACTTTTGAGGCAGGCGCTGGAACCACTGAGCTAAATCCCCAGCTGATTATGTCTTCTGATGAACAGTTTTTAAGTTTAATGTAGTACCGTTTACCTAGTTTTGCTTTGGGTGCTTGTGTATTTAGTATCATATCAAATAAATCATTGCCAAATCCAATATCATGAACCATTGTCCTTCTTTCCTTCATGTTTAACATTTTGAGTTTTATGCTTAGTCCTTTAATCTGTTTTGTAAACTTTTGTGTATGGTTTATGATAATGTTCCAATTTCATTATTTTGCATAAGATATTCAATTTCCCCAACATTGTTTGTTGATGAAACAGTCAATTTTGTTGATTAAAAAAACAAACTCAATTTCATTTAGGTTTTCTCTTTTCCATTCTTTTGTTCATTAATCTTTGGTTTAATCTTACTATTTTTTTCCTTTTGGTAACAGATTTAGTTTGGACTTTTCTGTTTCCTTGAGTTGTAAAATTAGGCAAATTTGAGATCTTTCTTCTTTTTTAGAATCACATACATTTTATCTATAAACTGTGCTGAATCACAGAAGTTATTTTCTGGTCTCAGATATTTCATTTCTATTATGATTGGTTCACATTGGTTATTGAAGAGTGTTGTTTAATTTCCACATATTTTTGAATTTTCTAGTATTCTTTCAGCTGCTCATTTCTAATTTTATTCCTTTGTGATCTGAAATATACTTTATATAATTTTGATCATTTTAAACTTGTGGAGACTTGTGTTTTAGCTCTATGTAATTTAAAATTTATTATTAATTTATTAATTTTAAATTGCATTTAAGTCTTTTGTATGAAAATTTAAGTTATATATAGCTGAATGGTAATTCATTGAAACAGTCATTTTTGTTACATTTTAAAATGAGAAATCTGGGAAACATTACATAACCATGAATCACAAATACAAATCTCAACTTAAGTCATCTATTTTATAACATTTTATTCAATGAAAATCATGTAAGAGACCTATGTGCAAAGCCTTAAAAATTTGTGTTGGTCAGACAGACCTTGGTGGTCACTTAATGTGGTCCTTTATGTTATAGATGAAGAAACAAGGAGTCATGCCTGTCTCAAAGGAGTGATTTCACAAGGCAGTAAGAAATGACCACAGGTTATAGCTTGTGTTACTACACACTGATGATGCCTTTGAGGCTATCCACTGATGTCCTCACCCACGGCACAATCTTTCTGAAGGTATCGTTGGTTGTTTATAATGTTGGCATAGTCTAGAATTCAGAACTTTAAATAAAAGTTCTATTTTTTAGACTTCACAAAAAAATTGATCAGAGAGTACAAAAGTATGTCTTCTGTCTTCTGTGCAGATAGTCTTCCCACTGTGATATACAAATACAGCATCCAAGCGGCAAATTATTTTACAATCAGTTAACCCACAATGACAAATCATTATCGTCCAAAGTCCATAGTTTACATTAGAATTCACTCTTGGCATTGCACATTCAATTTATTATTGTAATAAAATACATAACATAAAATTTACTACTTGTCAGTTTTTAACCATGTAGCCCATTAGTACTATGTTTACCTTGTAAAATAGATATCCAGGACTTTTTCATGTTGCACAGCACCTTTTTCCTTTACCCCAATCCCTGATAGCTAATTGATACTTTTTGTTCACCTGAGTTTATAGGGTTTCACTAATCTAGGTACCTCATATAAGCAAAATCATGCATTGTCTTTCTTTTTGACTGCCTCATTTCATTTAATACATATAATGTTCTCCACATAAATCCACCTTGCAGTAGGTGACAGGATTTAGTTTGCTTTTAAGGTTTCATACTATTCCAGTGTATGTTATAGTCCATTTTGTTTATCCACTCATCAAGGAGAAATCTTTGGGCTGCTATGAATAATGCTAGTGTGCACATGGGTGTGCAAATATCCCTAAGAGTTGCTGCTTTCTATTCTTTTGGATATTTATACCCAGAATTGGAATTGTTGGATCATATCACAGTTCTAGATGCAATTCTACAGCACTTCCCTGGCCAGTGCTTGTTATTTAATTGGAACAGTGGCTGTCCTCATGGGTGTGAGCTGTGCAGTGAAAACTTTTCAGTCTCCATCACAGACTTCTTTCTCATGATCGAACTTCAACAGAATTTTGGTTATTCATTGTGTTAGGGTTAATTATTTTGGGTTGGAACAAAAATTCTGTTAGGGGTCGGGATTTAGCTCAGTGGCACTGTGCTTGCTTGGCAAGCGCAAGGTCCTGAGTTCAATTCCTAGTACCGAAAAAAAAATCTGTAGACAAAATATTGGGAAAACTTAACATGATACCTAAACAAAAGGAAGAGGTTTACAAGACACTGTGTGTCCATAAATTATTCCTGAAAACCCAAAATGAAACTGGGTTTGTTTGAAAATGAATATATAATATAAAATTCAAGAATTCCTTCTGTTCTAGTTCAGATCACTATTAGAATGGATGATAAAATTTAAATACATTTTCAGAATGGAAATTTCTAACACATTCCTATTTCAAGCAATAAAATAAAATGATACTTCTTGATTCATAGAATTGTATCTATATTATATGTAATTTAGCTTGAAAGGAATTATAAAAGCTACAAAATAAAATCAAGTCAGACGATTTTAAACAAAGAATAATATTAATTAAGGCTTATTGAGGGCCTATTGAATGCCAGGCATATAGAGCTTATATACATTTAATTATCAAACAATCTCTATGAAATAGGTATGACTATGTTCCCTATTTTACAGAAGTGTCTCAGAGATGTTAAGAAAGTAATCCAGGATTAATTAGCTGTGAAGAGATGGGACCAGTATTTCAATCCAGAGAGTCTAACCCCTGAGCCATCTCTCCTAACTACAGTGTGATCTTACTGTATGAGGAGCTATTGAAGAAGTGTGTTCCTCCATTACAAGCAAAAACTGAAGGCTAACTGAAAAAACTAATTGTTTTTATGTAGATGAAGAGTTAGCATTTTCTTTTCTTAGAAGACACAAATTATTTTGAGGTGGGAAAAATATTTGTACACAAAGCCTCTTCTAAATTGTTTCTGGAGAAGTGTTTTGCATTCAGATAGTTTAAGATTTGGGATTTCCTATTATTTTCCCCTCTAGTCCCGCTACAGAGACGTCAGATGTTCTTTCAACTACCCGTACAACATGTGGACACTGCATATTGATATACCAGCACACCCACATACCTCAGAGGAAATAACAAGATATTTTCCAGGGAGGCCTGGAATAGTTTCCAAACACCTACTTTCTTGAGCAGAACTCAGTGGTTTATCATTATTATTGATTTTGCAGGACAGTGGAGTGCAGTACAATGGTTCTGAAGCCAGTCTGCCTGGGTTTGAATCCAGATCTTCTACTGCTTGGCTGTATTACCTTGGGAAAAACATATAACCTATATATGCCTCAGTGTTCTCATGTGTAAAATGGGGATAAATAATAGCCATGATCAGTTGGTCCTCTGTATTGGTGGGTTTTGCCTCTGTAGATTCAACCAACCACAGATCAAATATATTCAGAAAAAAATTATACTTAAAATGTACATTTTTTTCTGGTCATTGTTTCCTAAACAATACACTGTAACAAATGTTTACATAGTATTTACATTGAATTAGGTATTAAAAAGTAATCTGGAGATGATTTAAAATATTTGAGAAAATGCGTATAGGTTTACACAAATATACTATGGCATTTTATGTAGGATTATGGAACTAATTCCTGCTGGATACCAAGAGATGACTGTACTTCACGGGGTAGTGGGGAGGACTGAATGAGTCAGTGTGTGTCAAGCCTTGGCACACTGAAACAGAACACTGGTTCAATGTAACTGATGACTCAAAGGGCAGAATGGAGAGCCATGGAGAATTATTTCCAGGCATTGAGACCTAACAGAGTCTGCCTGGTTGGATTTTGGTACTGCTTTGGACTTGGGATTGCTTTCTACTTTTACTTTTTCCTTCTTAAAAATGAGTACCTGTGTGACTATTGTTAGATGCTTGTCCTCTCTTTGTATGTTGGAAGCAGGTAACTTGTTTCTTTGGTCTTCTTAGTTCCAGATGAAGAGAACTGTGCCCAGGAGTTGTGCTTAGTGGAGTACAACAGAGCCTCAACTGTGGCTGACTTAGATGCCAATGAGAAGTTTGGACTTCTGGACAGATTAGATTTAGGTGGGTTTTTGAAGCTGTAATGGAATAAAACTTTTGGAAATCTTGGGGTGGGCTGAGTGTATTTTGTATGTGGGTTGGATGAATCATGGGGGCCACAGGGTAGACTGAGGTAGGCAGAATGTTGGTTTCCCATGATCTCTGCTCCTGGTGTAGGTACAGTTGTAATGGATATGTGTAACAAAGATACTTTGCAAATGTAATTAAGGTTGCTAATCAGTTGGCCCTAAAGAAGGGAAATAATTCTGAAATACCCAGGTAGACCATATATACTCATTTAAGCCTTTGATACTATAAGAGGAAAACAGAAGTCAAAAAGATTTCAAGTATGAAAAGGATTCACTCAACATTTACTGGATTGAAGATGGGAGGGACCATGCAGTAGCCATGAGAAAGAAATAAATTAGGCCAACACCAGGAATTAATGAAGTTTCTTCTCCCCTAGAGCTTCAAATAGGAGAATAGGCCAGCCAACCCTGATTTTGGCCCTGGGAGATTCTCAGCAGAGTACACACCAAGCCCATTGGTCATCTGACCTATAGAACTGTGAAATAATAAATGAATACTCTTTCAAGGTGGTAGGGTTTTGGTAATTTATTATGACAGCAATAGAAAACCAAAACATCAGATACTAATTATTGATACTGACAACATTAGAACTTTTTTTTTTGCAAATTAAATATTTGGATACCTATAGAGCTCCTTTGGCCCAATCTGAGGGGAGAGAGTGATTCCACTGGATGTCTCTCCCAGGCATCCCATAGAAAGCACCTGTATAGATTCAAGTGCAAGAGTCCCACCAACCAGCCTTGCTATCTATTTCAACACTTGCCACAATGCATCATGTTCTTGGTCTTACTTCCACACCATTCCCACTAGACTGTACTCTTAGGAGCAAGATAGTGTTTGGATAAAATAGGCATTTGATACATATTTTTGAATGAATGCTAAATGAGTTTGACAACTATAATTGTCTCTAGAGGAGACAATGAGTAGAGGAAGAGCAAGGGACCAGACGCAGACAGGGGACAAGACAGGAGAAAGAAATAATTTGCCAGGGCAAAGGAATATAAAGTTTAATACTTGCATATTTATTGTTGTCTTAGAAATATTCCCTTCATATATTTCTCTGCCTGTACCACCAGCAGTATCAGTTTCGGGAAGCAGACTGGCCATTGCATAAGTGGTTTGTGAAATATCACATCACAGCTCACATTCCCAACAAGTTGAATAAATATGTTTGTGTGTAGTTTACCCCCTAAGGATGCTTCTCCTGGCTTCCTCACAGCTGGAATCAGAATTGGTATTTAGTAATCGTGTGGCAATGGAAGATGTTCTTCCTCTGGGATGGATTGCTCCATGGCTAATGCTCCCCCAGAAGAAGAGGAACTAGGATACATCCTAATAGACTGTGGTCACTTCAGTGTGAATTCTGGGAGTCTAGGGTGGCCTTTGAGGCTCCAGTAGAACATCAATAACTGGTTGAACCCCAAAGGCAAGCCAGAAGCAAGGGTGAGAAGATATTTTTTAGAAGGGCAAGATACACAGAGCATAAGGCAACTGGGTGGAAACACACACCCACCCACACAGAGCTAATTTCCATGAAGTATGATTCTGACTTAAAACACAATTAAGTAAATACCAGTCCATTCTCTACTCCCACAGCAGTTCTTGCTATTTTCGTTACTGTAATTGAGAGTAAAAATAATCTCCGTTGTGCCTGAAAAACAGCCACCAGTTATTCTATTTTAAATGATGTAGAAAAATATGAGATGAATGTGAAAGTCTGCCTTCTAGGAACAGCAACTGGCTGTCTGTCTCCAGTTTCACTGGTTGTGCCACCCAGTTTGTGACTTCCTGGTGAAGTTAATCACCACGTGGTTTAAGGTTTTTGGTGCCCCTGGTCATAGGGTGGAGATCAGCAGTACTCTATTATCAGCAATGGAGTTTTTGACTTCCTTGCAAATTGAGAATTTGGGTCAGCCATTTTGCTGTTCAAGAGCTCAACTTTTTGCTCTAAAAAGGACAAGAACAAGCAAAATGGGAGATAAAAGAAGAGGAGGAACTGGAAAGCAGTTGCTTTTTAATCTGGCTTCAGGACTTTGCTGATTTGATCCTTTGATGATTTGGCCCACTTTCTATGCACTCTAAGTTTTACTGGTGGGTTTGGCAAGACATGTGTCATATATCCAGATCCAGGGTTTGTAAAGTTAGTACCTTAAACAACATGGGGAGCCCTCTACAAGAAAAAAAAATATGTAAATGTATCTTCTTTGAGAAATTTTACAAAATATATGACCCTACAGTACTGAACTATGGGGAGAATAGATTTTAAGGAATGACAACAGTAAATCTGGAGCCAGCTAGATGAGCTTGTCCTCTCCTCCCAGGGTACAGGAAGGTCCTGTAGAGGTGAGTGGACTGAGTCTTTATGACTTTCAAGGAAATCTACCTGTGGATCTGTAGAAGACGGGATTTATGTTCTTCACTTGGTGGAAATGGAAGCAGCAGGAACTACTGGATATGTTACTAAAAATAGACCTAATGCAAATCCTACCATTTTACAGGTGAACCTGTAAAGAAATTGTGGTTCAGAGAGGATAAGTAACACCCACTGTCACATTAGGATCCTCTGCTTTTAACATCAGTTTTTCAAATTGGGGTATTTGTGTCAAGTTGGCTTGACAACCCAGAGAAAACAACAGGGGTAAATACATTACAGTTTATTTTCCCTTAGAGAAATATGGAAAGACAGCAAGGAGGATCTCACCAGGTGACTCCATAACACTACAACATCTCTGATAGGGAGAATGGGAGATTTTATACCACCTGATTCCCCCTCTCTTTCCTAGAGGCTTTCAGGGTATAACTGCTTGTCTACTTTATTAAAGTCAAGTACAGAGGAAGATTTATCTGCAAATGAACATTGGCTTATTGTTCCCTTCAAAGTAGATTTTTATTCCAAGTTGTTGCCACTGATGAAGCTTTTTAGAAATTCCTTTTGGACTAACATTTTACCAGTTTGAGTCAGTTTCTGTCTTTCCCTTCCCTCTTTTTCCTATCCCTATTTCTAAAGTAAAGACGTATGTATTATCAGGTTTTTTTGGCATATTTGGTGTTGAGTGATTTGGGAGTATATCTCAAAATTAAGCCTGTGATTAAAAATTAATGAGTTTGGTATCATGAAAATATTAAAGATAATTTGATATGGATTCTGAAGAGGACTACTGTTTTCAGCTAAAACCTATGGAGAAAGTGAAACAGTTCATCATCATTTCAGACAAAAGTGGGTAGTATTTATATCTTCTTACATTAAAAGAACCTATATGAGGTAGAAGCACATGGTGTATCATGTACCAAGCACTATGCTAAATGGATTCACGTACATTCATGCATTTGTTCCTCCAAACTTAGAGAAACTGAGGCCCTGAGGAGTTTAAAAACTCTAAGAGACAGCTAAGATTTGAAGCCAATCTACTGGCTCACAAATCAGTTCTCTCCCCTAGCTACTACCCTCACCCTTGCAGTCGTCCATGTGAACGTCTGTAGTGAATTCAAGGAGGATCATGCAGGTCTAGCGTGGTCCCATCCATGGTAATAGTGTGGGGTCACTGAAGTGAGGTCAGGAGCTCAGAGAAATACAGGGCAAGGTCACCAGGGAACTTTCAGGGAGAGTCCAGGAGCTGGCAGGTGCCCAGGCACTGTTCCAGAGAAGGAGGTGAAGCTCTTGCTTCCTTTTGCCTGCTATAGACTGCTTTGAAGTTTGTTTACTTCGCTTATCTGTTTCTCTCTGTCTTCCCTCAACTTCCTCTCAAATGTCATTCTTTCTACAATTTTCCATATCCCTCCCATCCCTATCTCTTTCTCCAGAATAATTGTGTATTAAACCTCTAGACATTGTTTTGCATTTCATTTCCACACTGACTCTACCTGAATTTCTGTCCTCCATGGTCCTACCATTCTTTACTTCATCAGAATAAGAAACATAAGCCATTGCCATGATTGGAGCCTTTCCTCAAAAACCGAGTCCTTTCTCATCATATGTTGAAGTGCAGTGATGTTGAAATTTAGAAAAAGACATTTTCAGTGTAGTATTATTCACAGAGATTAGGCTCTAGAGTTTTATTTTGAGGACTGGTTCTTATCCTTTCTGCACATATTTTTATTGATTCTTTTTTTTTTGGTACCAGAGATCAAACTCGGGACCTTGTGCTTGTGAGGCAGGCGGTGGAACCACTGAGCTAAATCCCCGGCTATGCACATATTTTTTATATTGACCCACATTATTTAATTTTGGAATGATCTATATACTTAAATAAATGTTTTTGGGAAGATAACATTGCTTCATTGTCTGCCAAGGGTCAGCAGGCAGGGAACATATGGGATTTATACTCAGGTAGTCCCGAGTTAGAAGAAACAGGTGACTTTTTGATTGACTCTGTCACATAGAAAAAATTACTTAACTTCTCTGAGTATTAGTTTCTTCTTCTGAAGAATGGGATGACAATAACTATTTTGCAAAACTCTGTAAAGAGCATTGTTTTTGGAGGTAGGTGAGAGTTTGATTTCTATCATTAATTAGGTGATTGAGTTGCTAGGCAAGTTGATTTTATTTTCTAGCTAGTAAAATGGGAGGTAATAATACTTATTTATAGGATTGTTATGAAGATTCAAAGGAGTAATATATTTAAAATTCAGTCCAGGATGTGGCACAAAAAGAGAACTTAAGAAATAGTAGCTATTTTTAGGATTGATTCAATAATGAATGTGAAGTTCCCAACAACATGGCCAGCCCATAATTGAGTTTTGATAAATGTTAATTCCCTTTCTTCCCTTCCAAGGAGAAACAGCAAAATAAATTCTATACTTATTGATTCTCTCCCTTCAGCCTAATGTGTATACGATTGATATGCTCTTATTTCTCCTCACTTTGCATCTGATGACAGGTCTTACTAGGATGACTATAACATGAGGTCAGATCCTATGTTCAAGAAGAATAAAAAACTGTTTACATTTTACAGTTTCTGAATTACCAAAAGCTATGTGCTCCTCAAATGCTTATTCTTTAACAGTCCTCTTAGTGTTTGAAGACTGTTCCCTTAAGGGCTTTCCTTGGGGTTACATTGTCTCCAGAGGTTTTTTTGTTAAAGCTTAGCTGTGTTACTTGAGTAGGATGACACATTCCTTGTCACTTATACATTAGCATGTATTAGGCCAGGGAAAGCCCTACAGGACTGGAATATGAGGAAGATGGATTTTATGGAACAAGAGCAATAAACCTGGAGCCAATGAGAGTTTAAGCAGCCCACGGGCACCCAAGCATACCCAGGATGGACTTTGGTTCCTCTTTCACTTTGCTCTGGGTATCCCTTGTAGGAAAGAAGGGAGCTAGAGCAGGCCAGCCTGCCTCTCCTAGGTTCCTCTAATGACTGTGTGGGATCAACACCAATGAACAACTCTCCTTTAAAGGAAAATAAGAAGGTAGTTTATTTTGAGCCAATTATGAGTGACCTAGTCCTGGTCAGACAGATTCAAGTTGTTTTCAAAGAGTGTTCCAAAGAAAAAGAAATTCTAATGACCTTTGTAGGCAGAAAACAAAGGTAATCATAAACCGGTATATTCAGTCAATTCATTTGGTGGGGCATTACATAGATGGGGTAAGGTAAAGCAGGGAAAATCTGACTACTCAGCTGAGGTAGTAGCTTAATTGAATTCTTAGTGAGAAGATTGGTTAAGTCAGGAGTCTGTTCTTTTACCAGATTGTCATGAAAATGTTAGGTCAGATTACAAAACATTGGAAGTAATGGCTTATTTTCTAAAGGGTAGAAAGTGGTCCTTATTACATAAACCTCCTAGTCCTTTGTCATAAATATCCACCTGCCTCCACTTTATCTTCTTTTGGTAGGAAGAAAAGGTTGTCCATGTAGTACTTGCTTGAAAAATTCTATGATAATATTTTTAGGAACGTTTAATGTCACAGGGGGCAGTAGGTTCCCCCATTGTGGACATCTAAGGAGGGAACAGATTAGATGGGTCTGATAGTCTTTGTCATGTGGACTAATAAGATGCAAATTGGAGGACTGCAAAGCTTAGGTGGTTATTTGTATGAAACGGATCACACAGAGACCTGAGCATGATTAGAAACAGAAGGGGAAGTAGACAGGGCCAAGCATCGAAGTAACTAATAATGTAGAGAGAGAAGAGTCTATATGAGATGATCCAAAACACAAAGATGGTGATGTAACTCCAGTGTAACACTTAGGAGTGGGTGTAGAACTGACAAGGCTGAGGATAGGTGGGTCACAAATAAATATGAAATGCAACTACAAACAAAATTTTTTTAATCCTTCAGAAACATAGAGTTGAGAAATAGGTCAAACCATGCAGACAGAGCTCTTTTTGTATGAAGAATAAGAGCTGGTGTCTAAATACCATAGTAACAAAACCACACTACATTAATAAGCGAGGTTCACTTATTTTAACACTTCTTTCTGAAGGCTTTTTAGTCACCAGATTTTTTTGATATTTCCAAAATTGTTATGTAAATAAAAATGTTGCAAACATTTTATTATTACAGTTTATAAATGGGGTAATGAAGGCCCAACTGGATTATGATTTGTACAACATATCCCTTGTGCTTCTGTCTGCCTGAAATCTAGTTTACTGATCAGATGTGCAAATGCACATATACAGGTCATTACTATGATTAGCATTCCACAGGATGTGGTGGGAAGGGAGAAGAAGTTTACTTTCTAATTATAATTATAGCTGTTAGGGAGGGATATTGTAAGAAGAGATATATAGAGAGAGTAAATAACTCTATAAAATGGAGGGATTGAAGGTCTTTCAGGAACTATACAGATTAGAAATTGATCCTTTCTTGCCAAAAGCTAGGGGAGGCTTTAAAATATATTTTTCTACCACATGGCATTTTACAGCAGTCATCCTGCAGACTCATGTAAACAAATGTTTGTGACATTTGTATAAATCATAGTAACCAATAACACTTATTGAGGCAGGTGGTGGAACCATTGAGCTAAATTCCCAGCCCTGATAACACTTATTGAGTAATTACTATGTGTCACACTCAGTATGCTACATAGTTATCTCATTATATAGCAGAGATCTTTAAAGTTGCATATTACAAATGTGATTAGAACCAAGGAAATAGCATGGTTAGAACCAAAGAAGAAGCAAATAAAAACAGACCTAGATAGAATTAAGGGAAAAAAATGTGTGGTTTAAAAATAAAAGGAACTTTTTGATAATTGCAGATAGACCTCGGGATTATCTGTGATTTGTAGATAAATCCTGACACAATCTAATGACATTTAGTGTGTTTTATAACCCCAAGTGGAGTGTTAACAGGGACCATTAGGTTACGTCCTAAATAAATCAACAAAGAACCAGAGCCAAGACAAAGAACTTGCTGTTGGCCATACCTTTTAGTAGGGAGGAATTGCTAGTCAAGATTAAGAGTTTGTAGTAAAAGAGAGTACTGGTTGTGCATTATTTAATATAAATTATTCAGTTCTATCTGTATTTACTTCATAATATAAGTCTTTGTTCTTTAATAGTTTTTACAAAATCCCAACCTGAACTTCTTTGAGTATTGCTAACTACTAGATGCAAGGATTTCAATTTTGACTTTTTTTTTGTAGTTCATGTTGTTTGACTTGGAGAGATGTTTATATTATTGTGAGTGACTTCAATGGATATAATACACCATGTATGATATGATCCCATTTTGTAAAACAAAACAAAAAACAGGGGAAAAAAGCTTTAAATAACATTATTAGTATTAGAAGTTAGGAAGAAACTAAATGCAGTATCTAACTATGAGGCAGTAGTTAAATAAATTCAGGCATATGCATAGACAGCAATTAAAATGTGCCTGGAGAAAATTTCGTGATTCTGACAATGTTTATAATTTATTGTTAAGAGCAATAAAAAATAATCCAAAATAGTAAATCTATTTTTGATAAAGGGACATTTATGCATAGACAAAACATTTAGAAATATAGTTATCAATATATTAACATACTTACTCTGAGAAGTGAGGTTACAGTTGAATTTTTAAAATAAAATTTGATTAGCTTTTATTTTTAAAAACAGATTTAAATTCACAGAATTGAGAAGACAGTACAGAGAGTTCCCTTATATCTCACACTCAGTTTCCACCATTATTACCATCTTACATTGGTTTGGTGTATTTGTTACAAGTAATGTTCCATTATTAATATATCAAAGTTCATACTTGTTTTATCTAATATTAATTTTTTGTTCCAGAATCCCATTCAGGAGACCACTTCAATTTAGTCATTGTCTCTCCTTAGGCTACTCTTGACTGTGACAGTTTCTCGGATATTTCTTGTTTGGTTGACCTGTACCAACCTTGAGAAGTGCTAGTCAGGTATGTTGTAAGATGCCCCAGTATTGGGATTTGTCTGATGTTTTTCTCATGATAAGATTGAGCTTACAGATCTGGAGGGTAAAGTTGAATTTTATATTCTTTTATCGGTATCTTTCAAATTTCCTAAAATGAGCATATACAGTTTCACTTTTTACTAAAATAGTTATAGGCATAATCGAAGATACTTGTAGATATAAATGTATAGATATATGCTCCACCATTACTATGCATCAGGTACAAAGATTATTACATGGATTGGCACTAGGTAAACTTGTGGTTGGCAGATTTTCTCCTCAGTAGGCTTCAACCTTTCTTTGTAGACCTTCTTAGCCTTCTCCTTTCCCTCAATTTCAGTGTCCCAGATACTTAGTAAAGGTTCTTCATGGAGGCACTTGGATTTTAATATGATTCTTTTGACACTAGAATCTGTTGTGTTTGTCTTCAAAACCTTGTTTTTTTCTTCTTTTCATAATTGCAGCCTGATTTTCCTGTAGTGATACCCTTCTTCCATGCTCCCCTAAAACTTTGGACTTGGCTATCTGATCAGACCTAGAGTCAGATAACTCCATTTTTTCCCACAGTGATTGGTATATTGTGGGTCAGGAATAAGCATATGACTGAAGTAAGCCAATGAGAACTTGTCCTGAGATTTTTGCTGAAACTCTTAAGAAAGATGAGCTTTCTTTCTGTTATAGGTGTAATGCTGATAGAATGTAAGCCTTGAGTTGCTAAAGATAATCTGGATTACCACAGAGAAACAATCTGAGAAGAAAGCTAACAGAAAGGAGAGCAGATTTGGGAAGTGAAGTGGAACAGATTCCTGAGGATAATGTGTGAACATCCTAATTTGGACAAGCCAGATTTACTCCTTGACTTTTTAGTTAAATAAGCCAATAAAGCTTTGTTGTTTGTTGTTTCTTTTTTTTCTCTAAAGCCCATTCAGGTTGTATACTTGTTACTGTAATTGGAAGACTCAACTAAAAGATTTTCCTTAGGATTTTATTCCTCCAAATAGATTAACTATCGTTCCACACATATCTGACATTAGCATCTTCTTAATTCTCAGTTATTTTACCTTAAGACTCTTCTATCTAGATTCTTACATAAAAAAGAATAATGGGCTAAAACTTCAGTCAAACTGATTATTTAGCTTCATTTAGACTATACAATTTATCTACACTGGGGATGTAATCAAATTCAGAATACATTAAAATATTAAACATATTGAAAATAATCTGTGATTAGAATAGCTACAAAATTGTGACTTTAAAAATTTCTGCTCCATTTTAAGCAAGACTGTTAACCAGTGGGGCCACCTCTCTCTCTTGCCCCAGCAGTTTCTTAACCATCAGGAAATACTAGTCGGTTCCCATGGCAGCAGCACGAACTCAACTTTTCCTGATTTGAAAGTGTAATTTGTCAAATGAGCAATCAGCCTCTTTTTTTATCACATCCCAATCACCAAGTCACTGTGAAATTTAGCAGAGTAACATTGTAGTCTTCGCACTGAAAGAAATGTGAAGGTGATAAAATAGCTCCTGACAGTTCATACAGGTAGAAGTTGAGTGTTTGAACATCTCATAGCCACTGAAAAGTGTATCTCAACCCTCACTCTGTTATTTACTTCCTGTCTGATTATGGAGAGATTATTAAATCTCTGTGACCCAGTTGCATCATCTAAGAAACGAGAATAATAATAGAATAACATAACATGACATACAATAAAATGCAGTGTACAAAATAATAGGGCTGGGGTGAAGTTAAATGGTCTGATCCATAAAACACTAAACACAGTGACTGACAAAGAGGAAACACTTAGTCAATGTCAGGTGGCTATTTAGATACCCAGTTGTGATGACATCCCGAATTCACTGAATTCTTAAAATGGATACTTTCTATAAAGACTGTGTATCATAGACATCTCAAAGTAGGAAAAATTAAGGATCAAGTTGATTGAACTTTTGAGAATGATAGGTATGTGGAGAAATATAATGAAGACCTAATTTGAGCAAATTATTTGCTTTCTTTTTTTGTTCCATAATTGTTTTTAGAACTGTTAATAAAGAATGAAACCATGGGTAGCCCTCAGAAGTACAATATTGCTATCAACTTTTTTTGGTACCGGGGATCAAATGCAGGACCTTGAGCTTACAAGGCAGGGGCAGCACCACTGAGCTAAATCCCAGGCCTTGCTATCAACTTTTGACTGCTGCCATCATCCTTGTCAAAAAGGGCCATTGAATATTGTTACTTATTGCGTGATGCACAGCCATTAATTTTTCTATTGTACTGAAATTAAAATTTAAAATAGATATTATCAAAGCTATATTTCAGGAAAATGATTTGCAAATTAATATTATCACATGTGACTTTTCTAAACATACATCATTGAAATTCTAATCAGTACTGGAACTATAGGATTTCTTATAGTTCATTCTGAAAGAACAAGAACAGTGTTTAAGATGGTGCTAGTCCATTTTTCAAACACCGTGTACATAGTTGCATGAACAAAGATCTTAAGAATTCATATGTTTAAGTCATAATGGACTCAAAGAATTTTTTCTTTCTTGGTGATGAGGTGCTAGCACAAAGGGAGCTTGATAGGGCTCTAAACCTTGAAGTCATTGCTTCTGATAAACTTCTTTCTGTTAAGCATCTATTTCTGAGTAATGATAGGATAAATGTGAGTTAGGATCATTAGTAGCAATAGAGAGCTGAATTAAAACTAATTTAAAATTGTGACAGTAGCTGATTAATGAACTATAGAACTGTCTGCATAGTTGAGTAACTGTAGGATTTCTTTTTTTAAGACAGAAGACCATGGCAGGGAGGAGATTTTTTTTTTTTTTTACCAAGAGTGTTTCTTGTACAGCTGGGTAGAATTTAGGATCATTCATTTATATTCAGCATTTCCAAAGATTAACAATGTGAATCATGCAACTGAAACTGGCATCACATGGCCTCAGAATGTACCACATCAAACATGCAGCTGGCGTCAGGGAAAAAGTTTGATGTCACTGTATGTTTGGCTATATGTTTTCTTAACCCAACAGCTAGCTTCTTGTGAAACTTAGTACAGCTGAGTGGAATGTCTCCATAGGCTAGGCGTAGATTTGCATAATACATTTCTACCATCTTGTTATGCTAATGAACCAAACAATTCAGCCAAATGTCCATTTGGAAAATACATTCTGAATTGTACAGATGAAAGCACAAGGGGAAAAGATTTGCCAAGTGACATAAAATAGAGATCATACTGAGGACAGTGAGCTGGAGAATGCTTAAGATATGTTACACTGACCAAAATTAAATCCCAACTTGGGTTACCCAGTTACCCAGCATAATTCTAGTATTATATGTGCGGCGAATAACTTTACTAGCTACAACCTGCTTCAGGCTTCTGATCTTGATTTGGTTTCTTATTTCAGGGGTACTGTCTACATACGGTGCTCTTCTTTGGGGGAGCATTGCAACTTTTTATCAATCCATGAGTAAAACCATGGTATTGCATTGTGATGACTAACCATTTGAATCTTCAAGAATTTATAATCTGACTTAATGTGAGTGATTAAAAATAGAAAAACTACTGAAAACACTTATTATTTAGATCAGTGTTGTCCCTAGGCTCTCTGAGGCAAGTGTTAGGCTTGCCTGACAGCCAGAGTGGCTGTAGATTCTCTTTTGCCATTTTTAGACTTCACGAAGGAGAATTTCTACATTTGCTTCCCATTGAGACCTCACTGATTTGATGGATGAAGAATTTTCCACTAAACTCATGACACTTCCTGACACAGGTGCTGTCATTCATACTCAGTATTATATAACTCTAGTGTCTGGAACAGTACCCAGTGTAGAGTGGGCATTTAAGTATTTTTATTGAATAAATAAATGAATTTAGATATTCCAATGTGAAATAAACCACTCAGGTAGCATCACTATAAACTTATTCAGTGGCTGGATAGCAAATGGGATGCTTTGGAAATAAGGTGCTTATGACTTTTGCCCTTCAAATAATTTAATTATTTCCACAGATAATATTATAGTCATAGACATTATGTGAAATAAGTGTAAGTTAGGACTTAAAAATGAAATGTGTATCAGAAAATGCTAGAAATGTCTTAGGATAGTTCATTGTAAGGAATTTGATTCTGATCTTTAAATTCCTTTTAGTAAGGTGAGCTCATTTGCTTTAGCTAACACTGGCTCTGCCTGACTCCTTCTAGTGTTTTGAAGAGGATTACCTTTAGGAGTCTTACATTCTTGAATTGTTTTAAGATCATGAAAATCAACAAAATAAGAAAGACTCCATCTCCCAAACCAGTATTTTCTGGGAAAAAATTCACAATTTATTGTTTGGTGTCTTATAAAAAAGGCAAAAAAAAAAAAAAAAAAAAGACTGTGACAGATATTTTCTTCACATTCCTCCCTTGTTATCCAGAAATGGCTCAAGCCTGGTGTTTGACATCTTAGCATGAGAGTGTGTGGGTGTGCTGGCTTCTGTCTCCAGCCTTTATTCACTTGCCAATGGTGATGGGGAGGTTTCTGCATTTGTTTCTATGTTGGCTGACCTTTGGGATTGGGTTCTGGAGTTTGCAGTGTTCCTCACAGGGACAGGGACAGGGGCACATCCTGGAAATGGCCTGGCAGTTCACTCTCCCAGTTCTCCCAGTTCTCTGTGGGTGAATTCAGGCAACCAACAACTCGGTGACTCTGGCAGATGTTTTTGTTTCTTAGCCTTGGGCACCTTGCCCTGCTGTCTCGAACGCAGAGGGTGATGCCTGGCACCCTGCCTAGTGCCACCAGAAATGAGTACAGCCCCAGGGAGTACTGCCAAGTTGTGTCGGGGAGCTGCTTTTTGGGAGCCAAGTGGCCACTGGGTAAATGTATTGGTCTGTGTGCTCAGAACACTGTCAGAAGGACTCTGTAGCTGATTGCTTTATGTGGCAGTAAATTCTAAGTCTACGTTCTATGTTTTAAACCCTTTTGTTTCCACATGGCATTTGCCTCCTTGTGCAACTGTGGTAACTGAGTGGGTTCATTGGATGGAAGCCATAGGTTCACAGCCCTGTCTGTAGTAAAATATTAGTAGGAAAGCATGTAGTCCCGAGTGTATTCTGGTTCAGCTCTGAAGACCAGAGTCACCTAAACAATAAATAAGAACTAAACCTCTGCCAGTCAACACAGATTGCATGGACCCCCCTTTTGGTAAGAGTGTGGCACTGTGGGAAAGTACTACACTTGTAATATGAAAGCCTGGCTTGCAGGTCTGGCCTACTATTTGCAATCTGAGTCCTTTACATGTTTTCAATTTATTGTTATTTTTTCCTATTATTATTTCAACAGGTTCCTTTTGTTTAGAAATATTTCACAAATTAAAAAGAAAATAAAGTGAATGAGTGTGCAACTTCATCAAATTAAACTCATGTTTAATTCCTCACTTTATAATACAGTGCATTTATTCATTCCACAAATATTAGTCCAATATTTTCCCTCTTCTGAGTACCCTCCTGGGTTTTGTTCCTGTTCCATTGGACAGAGACTTTGTTCAGGGATAAAAGCCAAGGCAAAGAGCTAAGTATTCCCACAGGGATAAGAACCTAGAGTCACAGGAATGTGGAGACCAGAGAAATTTATCCTGCTGGGATGTGAAGCTCTATCTAAAGGTGATGTTTTGAGCTGAGTCTAGAAAATAAATGGATTGCAACAAGCCACGGGGAGGTTTGGAACAAGAGCACTGATGAGTGCTTTCTGAGAACAGGATGAATGTTTTCAGGGCACAGCCAGTGAAAGAGCATCTGGAATTAGAAAGATGGTGGCTACTGCTGAAAGTTAAGAAGCAGGAACAGGAAGTGAATCTGCAGCCAGGCACTGTGTCTATAACACCTCACCCCAAAGAATTGTGGGGCCCAGAGATTGTAACAGCACCCTGTGGACTAGGAAGTGACCAAAAGAACTCTTCTAATGTAAAAGTAATGTAGTGTCATTATAATAAGTCTAGAAAATATGTCACATGAAAAAGAAAATAAAAACCATTTAGAATCTCTCCCACCAGAAAGAATTGCTAACATTTTAATGTACTTTTTAATACTTAACTGTGATCCAGTTAATTCTATGTGATGTTTGAGCTGAGGCCTAAAGAATGAAGATGTAGTAATGGCAAATAAGAGGGCTAGGAAGGACCTTCAGGAAGAGAGATGTACTCATGAGAGATCCCAAGAGGTGAATAAGCTGGGTCAGAGTCGTAACTGGAAGAAGGTCAAGGTGCTGGTGTTGGGGTAAGGGCAGAAGTGGGGGATGAGTTTAAGACTGGCAGTGGGCCATATTGCTCGGTCAAGTCTAGCATTTGGGCAACTGTGAGCATTGACCTGTGCTGACCAGGAAATTGACATACGTGGTGTGGTCATATTTTTTAAGAAGACCATCTAGCAGTCAGGATAATTTGCCATAAAGAGGCAGGGGTGGAAGCTGGGAGACCAGTAAGTTGTGGAGGAAGACGGTGGTGGTTGTGGAGATGAGAAGCAAGTGGCACATTTGAGGTAGATTTTGGAAACATGATTGACAAGGTTTAATGAAAGATTGACGTGGATGCTAAAGGGGTGGGAGAAATTGGGGATGAATTATAGTTGATTCATATATATTTATATATATAGTTATTGTATTTAATTAGTAGGAGTTAAACATAGTTAGAATGTTTCTGTTTTCCCCATATTATATTTTATCTTATCAGTGATTTATAATCACTTGTTACCAAGTCTAATGCTCTCCCACAGTAGGTCTTGAAAAGAATGCAGTTTTATTTCTTTCCTTAACCTGTCTTTTTTGCTTTTGTCTCTGCATTACTAATTACAGGAGTTTCCATCCATTTCTAGGTGCTGGTCAGAACATGTAGCTGTGAACCACACATGGGATGTGGCCTAATGGGGAGAATGTAAGATATGTATGTGGGGTGGCAGGGAAATTTGAATGAGCAGAGATAAAGTACCCTAAATGTGCTAAACTTGCCTGCCCTCCCACACCCCACACCCTGGATCTATCTCCAGCCTCTCTTCACCTCCCAGGTTGAACTCATACATGGTGGTCACGCTGAGTTGCTGAGGGCCTCAACACCGGTTGGAAAACC